GGGAACAATTCACAGCAGCAACCAGATCACCCAAAGGCCCACTTCCACATCCACATTACTTGTGAAAAAAATCAATCGTTTCCACATCGCAACAAAGTACACAAGTGTTGCTAACACAGCCATGGAACTAACCAATCAATACGAAGTCTTTAGGATCTTCGACCCCCAAAATCCGCTCAAATAATCCTACTTGCCTCGGTACAACATTGACAAAATAAAATAATAGTCGGTTCAAGCAAATGTTTGATTGAGGGAAAAAAAAAAGAGAGGGGGAGGCGTACCTTGGATCTGCCGAGCGAGTGGATGCCCGCACGTCCCTCCACCCCAAAGCGCGAGTCATGGGGTGTGTAGGAGTTAGGGTCCTCACGAAGCCGCGGCCCTTGGTCCTACGCGGCATGTCATCGCCCGCCATGGTGGAACAGGAGGGATTCACGGTGGCCTCCTCTTTGGCGGCGTCCATGGGGTTCTTTGGCAGTGCCGCTGCCATCCTCTCCTCCCCGATTACTAGCTCCCTTCTCCTTCCCTATCGATGGCGAGGACTCCCCATTGCGCTCCCTCGAGATAGGCCTCACGAGGCAATCCGAGGAGGCGCTGGGTATAGGTTTTTGGGGCATGGTTTTGCGATGTGGAGGCAGCGTAGGTCTCGCTGTGGCAGCGTTGGCGAGAGGAAGGGGAGGAGCGGCGGCGCGGATAGAGTGAGGGATGGGAATCGAACCTGTGAGGTTTGGTGTGCGGGGGGCGCGGGGGCGGAGGGGGAAATTTAAATATTTGCCATTGTTCCGGTTGGCACTCCTTCAATTGTCAGTTTTAGAATGGCAATTACACATTTGCCACATGATCAGTTTAAAGTGCTCCATTTAAATATTTGCCATTGTTCTGGTTGGCACTCCTTTAGTTGTCAGTTTTAGAATGGCAATTACACATTTACACATTTCCAATTGGCACTCCTTCAGCACGCCAGCTCATCCTTCCAGCGTGGAGAAGGCATGGGAAATGACTGTCCTGCCCCTATCTCCTTATCCTCTCATCCTGCCTGTCACATGGTCCCTACTTGCCCTCTCTCTCTCAACCGCCGATAGGTGGGCCCCACCTATCCGCTTCATCCCCAACCTCCAGTCGACCTCTTCTTTCTCCAGAGCACACCTCCCACTACTAGGAATATCCACTTCTATGCCGAACAACTTTTGTCACTGAATGAGCCAAATTCATTATAATTTTAGTTTTATGACAAATTTATGACGAAAAACGGTTTGTCATAGAAGTCGCGTCACACTTGAACATCCATGACGAATCCGAAAATATCGTCATAGAATGGTCTTAATCTTTGACAAAAAAACAGACCATCATAGAACTATTTTGGCATACGTGGCAGGAGCTACCACGCTGGTGGTCGTTTCCATTGGAGATGCTTTCCACGTGTACATGCTATAGCCCACGTGTACATGCTATAGCCGGTTGCATTGGAGATGGTTCGGGTATGTGTCACCTTCTTATTGCACAACATGGCCATCTCTGATTCTTGCACGTTTCAGATTCTTACTGGACCACGTCTCGGGTCCCTATTGTTCCACATGTCAATTTTCTACTGGCACACGTGTCGTGTTGTGGTTGGATCATGTGTCACTTCTTTATTGGACCATGTGTCATATTTTTATTGGTCCACATTGTCGTTTCTTATTCGACCATGAGTCATGGCGTTGTCCGTCCATGTTTTGTATTTTTATTCGGCCATGTGGCTTCACGACTTCCTTCCACGTGTCATGTCCTGGCTATTTCACGTGCCGTGCACTAGTTCGTCCACGTGTCGTATTTTTTTGATCACGTGGCCTGTCCTGGTTCTACCACATGCAGTACAATCAATTCATCATAGAAGTAATTCGAGATCATCACTACTGCATAGATTGACTACATAACTATTTAGCCTAGCAATCAAACAACAATTAACATTTCACACGTCAGCAGCAAACCACTGACAGAGTATCACCACATCAAATCGGCATACGAGTCCACACATCAAACCGGCAAATGAGTCCACACATTAAACCACAAATGCTCACTACATCAAGCCGCAGGAGTTGAAGACTAAGAGTTACCAGAAGAGCTAAAGCGCGTGCATAGCTCACAGAGATTGTTGTACTCCTCCTATTGTTGTTTCTTGTATTCCTCAAACTCCCTTTTAGTCTTTTTGTCTTCCTCTTCAGTTCATCCACTTGATCGACAAGTGCAGTGAAACTTTCCTGTTTAGCAGCAAGCTGTTTCCGAAGCATTCTCTTCGCAGATGTCTCTGTTCTGGTGGAGCTTGTCTGGATACCAGCATTCTTCAAAAAAGGTTGTTGTCGCTTCCCTAGGAGGGGGCCTTGTCCTAGTAGACGTAGAGGACCTTGCAAACAATATTAGCACTAGTCATTGGTTGCTGCCCATCAGCAACAGGTTCTGCTTGCATAGTTTCCATAGCTTCCTACGAAATTCAATCAGTAAAACATTATGTTACAGATAGTGTAAGAGGAATTCAATTGAAAACCCAAGAGATTGATTCATAACAAGTAATGCATAGGTCTTCCTCAGCCTACTACTGATAGAGATTACATAAGCTTTGATAGATTTTAGTAGATTTCCGTAACACTAGGCTCCTACTACGTTTTCTTTTTTTATGGCAATGGCTTCAGTAGATTTCAAGAGAAGCAAAAGAAGATACTTACAACTGCTACTCTTGTAGCATCGCTCAGGCCCTTTTTGCTACTGGTATGGAAGTCCCTGAAGACTTCCACAACATTAACATCTTCATCAGGTGGACCATTTTCTTCTTCAAGTCCTTGATCATGTTCCTTCCTTCCTCTTATTCTCCTTCTGTTCACATTGCACATGAGTTTTGGTTTATATTTATACAAAGGCAAGAGTAATAATAAAACACAACAGAACTTACAAAATTTATAGCTAGACAACATAGGAGCGAGACCTTGTGGCCTAGTGGTACTTCACTTTTGCATGGTTTCACTTGTTCTTCTCAAATGTTTCCTATAGCTTCATTTGTGTTAGATTGTAGCACAAGTAGACCTAGACAGGAAATCGATGCGTTCACACACCTTGTTCTTAGCACTAGACCAAATCTCGACAAGTTCACACCACTGTGCATCGTTCATGGACGAGACATGAGAGGTCATACGGATCTGATCAGTAAGGACGCCATTGAAGTATTTTTTCTTCAACCTATAGCGTGCCTGCCATATCGCAGACTGCAATACATTTCAGCAAGCTTCTTCTATTGGTGGGTGAGCACCGTTAACGCGCAGCCTTCCCTGCACACAATAGTGTGAATGAAAAGTAAATCTGTTAAAGTTGCTCAAAACAGAGTTGAATGTCAAGAGGGGATACCCATACGTGGGGGAGGGAATGGCAGGGGTGGAGCAGCGCGTGGCCTAAGGCGTCTCCAAGGGCGGCAGCGGCTTTCCTATGATGGGTAGTAGAGGTGTGGAGGTGTGGCAGCCGTGGAGACTGTGGTGGCGTGGCGGACGTAGAGGTGTGCGAACGACGGCGAGGACCACGGGCGGGCTCATCGGTGCACGGGCAGCGGCAAAGGCACGTGCAGAAGACTATAGTTCGCGTCGGTGGAAATATGTGCGGCGCTGACGGTTGAGGACGGGCATGGATTCAACCGCGGCTTTGGATGCATGCGGGACATCGCGAGGCTGGTGAGTGGTGAGGCCGCTGTCCTCAATATGCACCAGCTGGTCGTGGAGGCGTTTGAAAGCGGGACGTCGTGGAGCGGTTAACTGTGACATGTGGTGTGGTTAGACCGTCGCCAATGGTTGTCCCATATGGGCACCCATACCTAAAATAGGTCTCGAATGATACTGTATCAGTCTCCAATAGAGCACCTATATGCGAGACCCATTTTAGGTTACAGCAAAGGCACAACTCAAATATGAGTATCCTCTCTCCTGAAGACTTATTTCCAGAAAGTGTTCTCTTTTGGGTCCTGTTGTTGGAGAAGACCAAAAATAGGTACGGAATCATTTACCTGTAGCGCTACCCAAACATGAAATGAGTCTTGTATTTTGGGTAATGTTGTTGGAGATAGCCTTATTCGGCACTAGATGCATGTGCCCATCTAGCATGGCGGTCATTGTTCGAGCTACCATTTTTGCCATGTACTACATGCACGGGTGATGGATGCACACACAGCTAAGCGGCGACGGCAGGCGTGCACGGCCATGGGGACCACGGGCATGGGCGTGATGGGGTGGCTTTCACCCGGCATGGGCGCCCACGACAATGACGACATGCATGTTCAACAAATAGGGGCGTGGTGTGCGCGCGATGAGTAAGGGGTGCTTGGTCGGGGTGGCCGCCATGCATGGTGATTCCTCGTCGATTTTTTGAGAATAGAGACCAAGCAAGGCACCTGGAGATTGGGGATGAAGCTGACAGGTGGGGTCCACCTGTCGGTGGGTGAGAGAGGTAGGTAGGTGGGGACCATGTGACAGGGAGGATGAGAGGATAAGGAGACAGGGGCAGGATAGTCATTTTGTATGCCTTCTCCACGCTGGAAGGATGAGCTAGCGTGCCACGTCTCCAAAAGTGAAAAAATGGAGTACTTTGACTGTTTATGTGGCAAATGTGTAATTGCCATTCTAAAGCTAGCAACTAAAAGAGTGCCAACCGGAACGATGGCAAATATTTAAATTTCCCGAGCGGAGGACGTGCGTGCGATTGCACGAGGCATACCAACGAGGCCAAGTTGGATTGTCGCACCAAATTGATGTCCACTTCTTAGTCTTTTTAGTTACGAGAGATTATATAAGATAAATCCATATCCTGTATTTGAGGACCAAGGAATAATTTGGGTTTGATAAAATTTCAAGGAAAAAAATCGTAGGCCGGGCCCATCGCTCAGACAAAGCAACCGCCTCCGCCCTTCCCCGCTCCTCTCCACTCTCCGGACTCCGCTTCCCATCCCGATCTCAGACTGCCGCTGGCACCCCTCCTCTCCTTCCCTCCCTCTACCCGTCGCCGCCGCTGCCATGGACGAAGTCGTCAGCCAGGTAGCCATCCGCCCACCTCTCCTCAATCCGCCCCCTCTCTGTCCTTGCTCTCTCTGAGCGCGGGAGGCGTGCTGCTTTCGGTGGCTGCAGATTTTGGAGAAGCAAGTGCTGTCGGCCGCGAAGGCGGTGGAGGACAAGCTCGATGAGGAGATCGCCGCGCTCGACCGTCTCGATTCGGACGACATCGAGGCGCTCCGCGAGCGCCGGATCCAGCAGATGCGCCGCGCCGCCGAGCGCGGCGCCAAGTGGCGCGCTCTGAGGCACGGGGAGTACACCGAGGTCCCCGAGAAGGAGTTCTTCTCCGCCGCCAAGGCCAGCGAGCGGCTCGTCTGCCACTTCTACCGCGACAACTGGCCCTGCAAGGTGCTGCTGCTCTCCCATTCTCACTGTTGTGGTATGATTGGCGCAGTTAGATGCAGATCTCGTGGTAAATTGGCTTTTATTAGGAATGGTGTTTTATTATGCTGTTCGTACACTTTTTTATCAAGATAAGATCTTTTCATACTGGTCCTAGTATCGTTCCCTTTGGCTCGCATGCGCTGGACTGCTGAAATTTCTGTTGTATCCGAAATATGTTAACAGTCCGCTTAGATTGCTCTGCCCCCTAGAGTGAAATGGAACGTAGGCACATTCTTTGCAGTTCATATAAGCAGGTCCCAAGCTCCGATAAAGGAGGAGGGTTGTGTTAGGCTTGGCGAGCCAATGTAAAAACTTAGCCACTAGTATGGAGATGAAACCCAAAAGAATCCCATTGGGGCGTAACCCTCTTAACGATGCACCATGCCGGGACTAGGGGCTCTTGGTGGGTTTCATCTCTAACCTACCCCAACTTGCTTGGGACTAACAGGCTTCAATCAGTTCAGTGGCAGAGCCAGAGACTCAGCTTTTTCTTTGTTTTTGGTTGGGTGGGGAGGGGGGTGGGCGCTGTCAACTTAGAAATAGTACAATAGTTATTTTATTTTAGTACAATCATACATGGGATACCCTGAAGGGCGGGCTTGGTGCAAGCGGAGGTGACCGAAAGGTCCCGGGTTCGAGTCGCGGTCTCCTCGCATTGCACAAGCGAGGGTAAGGCTTGCCACTGACACCTTTCCCCAGACCCCGCACAGAGCGGGAGCTCTCTGCACTGGGTACGCCCTATACATGGGATACCCTAGAGCACCACACCATACTTGTTACCGAGTATTTGGGTATTGCTTTCCTATTTCCACGTTTACTTACATGAATGACCCTGATCTTGTCTGGGAGAGGTTCGTACATCCCATTGTGTTGATCAACTTCATATCAACTTCATTTATTGATGCATTGGAGGCTTTGTTGTACACATATGTTGGATTATTTGTTAAAAGTCCCATTATGTTTGAATGCACACGTTCAGTGAAATACCAGAAAACTAAGCTGTGAAGATTTAACAATATGAGCTACATTGTTGTTCTAGATAAATTTCATTTGATCTCCTGCCTCATTCTCAGTGTTTTAAAGGCGACTAGGCGTCCAGGCGAGTGCTGGGTCGCCTGGATGCCTAGGCGACAAGGCACACTGTTTCCCAAGGCGAGCTGGGTATGCCTGGACGCCTAGGCGACGCCTTTAAAACACTGCTCATTGTCCACCATGGCAGTATGGACCACTTAAGTAACATTCCCAAAAGACTAGGGTACCACTGCAATGCTGTTTGTGGCTGATCTGCTGATGTTCCACCAGCATATGGAGTGCTGATTTCCCAGCCATTGACAATTGTTCCCCTCACTAACTCATTTGAGTGAATATATGGACCTTGCCTATGTTCTTATTGGTTGCTGCTGGCACCTCTCAGGCTCTCACTTTGTTCAACATTTTCTGACTTGGTTGATACTTCCAAGGTAGCATAATCGAAAGGTTTGGCCACATCTTATTTGTGTGTTTTTTTGGGGCAAAGGGGCCAAAACAAACATAGATGAGCATACTAGAGCTACATGTTCAGATTTTCAGGTGGTTACCTCTTACAAGAGGGGGGGCGGGGGGAGGTTTACCTAGCAGTAGAATATGAGGCTGTGGTAGATGAGGCCATAAGTCAATCCCAATTTCTCCTTGAAAACAAAGATACCCAGTTCTGCTTGTGTATTTAAAATTTTTTTTGAAGGAAAAGTCATTTTACATCCCATGAACTTTTAATTTACACCGTGAACTATGAAACAGTCTAATTGACAAGCCTCAACTATCAAAACATTTTACTTTACTCCGTAGGAAACCACTAGGACACACACTTAGGCCTTCTTTGGATGCACTTGTAACTATCTCAATCCACATGTATTGGGGTGGAAAATTAACTAATTTCCACCTTTCCACCCCAACACACATGTATTGATGTGAATACGAGTGCATCCAAACAAGCCCTTAGTGTTGCTCCTACCGATGCAGTATCATGTGTTTTGTGGTTTTATTTGTTGCCAAATCAGTCGTATTGCTCTATTTGCATGTTAAAAACTGTCATCAAATCAGCAAAAAAATGTGATTGTTTTAGGGTTTGGGAGGGATGGGGGGGGGGTATAAGAATATAGTTTTGAGAATTAGGGATTGAAATGTAGAATTATTGTAGTTAACGGTGTACAGTAGATAAATGTTGAATTTCAGGGGATGTGACTTGGAAATTTTCCCTTTTCAATAAACGTTGCAACTATACTAGCTATTGGTCCTTGTTTGAACTTAAACCTCAAGTGGTGGATGGTGACATAATGAACTTAACCAAGTTTGGGACCAAATTTCTATTTTTTGTTAGCTGTTGAAGCAGTTAGTGAGGCGTGAGGCAGCGGAAGCCATTCAAGGACCAAAACCAAAGTATTCTGCAAATATTTCCTTTTGAAATAGTAATGTCTACTATTATTAGTATTAACAGTAACTTGTACTACAGAATTACAGATCATACTCTTGGATCCGTTGCACCATGCTCTCGGAAACTGGTTTCGGCCATAGATTGACCTTCTGATTTTGCAACCTTCATAAATCATAATTATTCCTTAATTTCCATATCTCGATGGGATATCAAGAAAAATCTCTTCCCACCGTGGAAGAAAATATTCTTTGCATTCAAGTGACGAAGAGGCCATACAAAGTTGAGATACAAGAAATCAGTGTTCTCAACTCCTCATCATGCCCATCTTTGGTACTGATTATATTAAAATCTTTTGCCGCCAACCTTGCTTTTTTTGGTTAGGTTCAAATTAAGCACCCATTTGCACCATATTGCTGTCTTTCCTGTTAGATTTGCAGCCGATCCTGTCTTCTTGAGTTAGATTCACAGTAAGCACCCGTTTGCACCATATATCTTGCGTGTTAAAGGTAATTAGATTTTGATTTCTTGTTCTTTGCTAGTGCGCAAAGATCCTTGGCGTCTTTCCACTTGGGATCCTGTGAAGCAGCTTGCTAATCCTTGACAAATGTCAGTAGACACTCTGTAGGGATGCAATAAATACTTTATGTACAGATGAAATACAACAGTAATTGACATAAATTTTGCAATACTGTTCCTCAAATTGCAAAAGCTTTAGGCCCTGTTTGGAGCCGATCCCTGGCCGCTAATGGCGGAAAAAGGAGGCCAGTGGCCACAAATGGCACGACTAGGTGGACAATTTCCATGCCCATGCTTCCTTTCCCCATGCTGTCTCAACTGTTATTAACCTTGAAGATTTCACTGCATTAGTGGAGATGACATTATATAGGGAGCCTCATGTGTGCCATATGGTCCTTGATATATACTTAACACCCCCTTCAAAATCAAGGTGGAAGCAGAGGATTTGAAGCATTGAGTTGAGCAAATGAAGCCGATGCTGCTCTCGTGTTTGTGCTTTAGTGAAAGTCTGCCACTTGCAGCTCTGAGGACACATACTGAAGAGCAATTGTTTTTTTATGATAGTGGGAACGAGTAAAGAAGGCAACACCGATGTTTCATTTTTTCATTAGCAATCTTTATGGATCCAGTATTATCACGTAGAAGAGGTGTGGGAACATCACATGAAATACCAAAATCAGCAAGCAACCATCAATGCCATAAATCTCTATATTGGTAGTCGCAAGCACACGAAGCAAATGACCAAAATGAATATAAATAGGAGCACTCACAAAATGATTTATAAAATATGAACTGCGTGAGCAATATCAGGTCTAGTAACAGTGAGATAAACATGGCTGCCCACAATATGCGTATATCAAGAAGGATCCCAAGAGGTGTACCATTAGTAGCACAAAGCTGCAAGTGGAGCAGCCATGCGATTATTAGTAATGCCTGAACAAGCAATAGGGTCCTTTATGTATTTGGACTGAGAGAGATAATATTCCTATGCAGAATGGGAAAGCTCAATCCCTAAGAAATAACTGAGAGGACCCAAATCATCATAAATCTGAAATTGCTCACCAAGCTGCTGCTTCACAGTGAGATACACATGGCTGCCCACAATATGCGTATATCGAGAAGGATCCTCAAGAGGTATACCATCAGTAGCACAAAGCTGCAAGTGGAGCAGCCATGTGATTATTAGTAATGCCTGAACGAGCAATAGGGTCCTTTATGTATTTGGACTGAGAGATAATATTCTTATGCAGAATGGGAAAGCTCCTATGCAGAATGGGAAGGCTCAATCCCTAAGAAATAACTGAGGACCCAAATCATCATAAATCTGAAATTGCTCACCAAGCTGCTGCTTCACATGAGAAATGTTTTCCACATCGTCGCTCGTAATCAACATATAAAAGAAGCAAAGTACGTTCACGTGGAGAAAGGTGAATAAATAGAGCGGGATCATTAGCACTAGGTGAAAAACCAGCAGCCCGTGTCACAGAAACTAAGGACGAGGAGCCTATTTAAGACTATTTAAAGCACGATGAAGACGACAGAAATATCCCAAGGGAGCATCAACACCTAGGGGTGGCTACCTCTTCATTCAAATCATCATATAAAGCAACGACAGACATATCCCATGATGAAGTAGCAGCCTTTGCAATCAGAGTATGGACGGTAGTCATATAAGCAACCGATGCAAATGTCTCATTATAATCACAAGCATGAGTCTGTTGAAAACCTATAACAACAAGCCTAGCTTTATATCGCTCAATAGAACCATCAGACCTGGTCTTTTGAATACTCATTTAGATGTTATAGGCATGGCATGTGATGGTAATAGAACAAGATCCCAAGTGCATGTCCGATCAAGGGCAGCAAGCTCCTCAGACATCGAAAGCTGCCATTCAGGAATGATAGAAGTTTTGTGATACGTGGATGGCTCAGCAACAACACTCATGCATGGAAAACCATACTTGTCAGCAGGCCTAGTAGTAGTGCGACCCCGAGGTTTAGGCGGCAGAGGTGGGGGTGGGGGTGCAGGAGCAGGAGCAGGAGCAGGAGCAGGAGTCTCATGTGGAGACAACATAGTAGGTGTGATGGACACATGTTGATCGGGAATGGGCATAATGGATGAGGATGGTGTAGGGACATCATCACTGGAAGAATGAGTAAGAAGACAGAGAAATGAGGTGGACTCTGTGGGAGAGTATGAGGGTTGAATAGGGTGCTTGTGCTTCCACTCCCTATATTTCAGCCTCCCACTACACGAAGCTTGTCCTACAACCACTTCTTCCCCCGTACAAACTTCAATTGTGTTCATTCGCCTCAATTTTCACTCTTGGTGTCATGAGAGTACAAACTTCACATTCTTAAGTGCTCAAACTCAATCCATTCTCACATTTTCATATGTAACCCTTTTGATCTGATCCATAGCCAATAATACTACACCTCAGTTACTAAGAGTGGCACTGAGGGCTCAATTTGCCAACTGATAGTTGGTGACCCTGAGCACCCAAACACTTAAGGTGGCACCTTGAATTCCCTTTGGCCTAGGAAAAGTTCATCTAGGGACTTCAAGCCAAATATCTTCTTTGGGATACAATTGATGACCTACATGGACATCATCACTGCTTAGCTGAAGAAAAGCTTAGGAATTCATGTGGAAAATGAGCAAATACGAGTGTGAGTTCGTTCCAAGCATCATAAGCTTCCTGAACCTTTTCCTTCACAGAGTGTTGAGGTAGTCAAATTTGTTTCTATTTGTGTAGAAGCTCTTGTAGAGGTAATATACCTCTGAAATCTTTTGTTAACTTTAACAGACACTCTTCCTCAGAGATAGATTCAAATAATGACAAATGAATGGTAACATGGTATCTATCCGTGGTCAGGAAGTGCTTCGAGCCCTGTGTCCTTTGTCATGTGGGGCTACAGCCCCTCTAGGAGGAGAGCCAGGGAACACCCCGCGAGAAGCGGGCAATGGAAGAGCACGCATGCTGACCAGGCAAGAGCGGACACATGCGCAGTTGCGGTCCAGGAGGCAGGCCGTGCCTATTCATGGAAGCAACGCTCCCGAGCAGCTTCATCAGCCATGCAGTGGACAGGCTTGATCAACCGGGAAGGCATGCAGTGGACAGGACCTTCAACTATTTTTAGGAGTGTGAACTCTTCTTTCCTTTGGCCGGCCGAGTGCCTCTAAAAGCTATGTATGAGACGCCTTTGAGAATCAAGCAATGAAGAACAATTAGTCTTAATCTCATCCCCTTCAACAACAGGGAGCTGAGGGGTAAAACCTCGCCCCAACCCTACGGATCGAGGCTATGAACTGCATAGCCGAGGTCCAGCTACCCTAGATCCCAACCTCCATGACATCCTTGCTTTGCTCTACTGAAGGATAATGCATGTTTTTTCTAAGAACGCTGTTCGGTACTTTGGTTACCATATCTTTGAATGACAAAAATGCTCAGAAAGATGAACAAACCTGAATTATTCTGAAATGCATAAATCAGGATAAAACCATTCATCTTTCGGAATTTAAAACATGAATCAAAGCCTAAGGGCACCCTATCAATAAAAAAGAGCTAGCTTCTAGTCTATGGAAAGTTAATTCTGTGCTTTGTTTGGTTTACCAGGCCAGTTTTTCTCCTAGTTCATCCGTTTTTGGTAGACACAGCTCTAGACAATTCCAATTGTTGGCACAGGAAATGTTCATTGTTAGCCCCTTAAAAACACCAATAGTTCAGACAAATGAACCTGCAACACCTTAATTAAGGTTCTAGGCTTCTGAGATTTATGATAATGAGTTGCAGTGCATGTTGTCTATCTAAGCTTTGCTAGTAGCAATCAGTAGATGTGCTAATTAGTTCATTGCGCGGACATAGAACATTTCAGTGATCGAAGGAGGTGAGATTTATGATAATGAGTTGGAGTGCATGTTGGAATAATGTGTTAGCTGTAGCTTATCTAAGCTTTGCTGGTAGCAATCAGTAGATGTGTTCATTAGTTCATTGCACGGACATAGAGCCTTTCAGTGATTGAAGGAGGCGATCTAGCCTCTGTTGGACTCCTAAGGTTTGGTTGCACTTGTGACCCCTGATTTCAGAATGAGGGGGGAAATGTTTGATTTGCATGAATTAAAACATCTTGGAATTCCTACCAGTCATCTTTGTATTTCCTTGCATATAGCCTCTATATAATCCAGTCATGTGCTCGTAGTGCATCCAATCTTCCATGACCACTTCCAATTGACCTTGCAGTATGCATCTGTTGTGTAACCAGTTGCTTATGCTTGTTTGCAACAGTGCATTGCAAGTTGTGGATGCAACGAAATGATCTCATGTGGTTCTTCCACATCATTCCTTTCTAGGACAGTATCTAGAAAGGTTTTCTAGGGTTGTGGTCAATTAATGTTACACTTCCAATCTTTTCATCCACCATAGTTTCGATCTGTCTTATGGAGTGGTGTTACGTGGTGCCAGGCCTACAACCGACGCAAGATGGTCAGCACAGCATGATAAGAGGATTAGTGCTTTCTATTAGGTTTGTTAGGTGTTAGTTCAGGGCTTGTTTGTATTAAGATTGGTTTGTTAGGAACTTAGGATCAAGATTAACTTGTTCCATACTTCCATTGTCCTCTATATGGGAGTGGATATTCACGAATAAGGAAGCAAAAGTTGATATCTTAACCTCTCTCTCAGTTCTATAATCCTAGCACCAGGGAGGTGAGGCTTATCGAGCATAGCAGCTGCTCTACAACACCTTAAGCCCATAACCTCAACAAATGGGCAGACTGCAATGTTTGGTCTGTCTCGCAACAAATGGTGCAGATTGCAATGGTTGGGATGCCTTGCAAGATTCGAATACATTCATCTTTGAATTTATATGGGAGTCAACATTCATGATTAAGGAAGCAAAAGTTGATATCTTAACCTCTCTCTCAGTTCTATAATCCTAGCACCAGGGTGGCGAGGCTTATCGAGCGTAGCAGCTGCTCTACAACACCTTAAGCCCATAACCTCACAACAAATGGGGCAGACTGCAATGTTTGGGCTGTCTCACAACAAATGGTGCAAACTGCATTGGTTGGGATGCCTTGCAAGATTCGACTACATTCGTCTTTGAATTTTCAATTCTTCTTTTCGTATAATCTCAAAGCTGATGTTCTTCCTCTTCCTATTATTACAGTTATGATCCGTTCATTGTGTTGGTCACTAGAACTGATGGTATCAGTTGCATTGTGTTCAATCTTGCCATCTTGTGCTGTGCAATATCATTTTATGATTTTATCATGTTTCTCTCTTGACCTGCAGGTTGTGGATAAACACTTGTCGATTCTTGCAAAACAGCATGTTGAAACACGGTTTGTGAAAGTTCATGCGGAGAAGGCTCCCTTCTTGACAGAAAAGCTCAGGATAGTTGTCCTTCCCACTCTTGCTATAGTTAAGAATGCGAAGGTTGAGGATTATGTGGTAAGTGAACACTCTTGTTAGTGATTCTTTAGCTTTGTATTTAATTTAACAATAGTCATATATTTTGTACTGGTAATTGCAAGGTTGGCTTTGATGAGCTTGGCGGCAAAGACGACTTCAGCACCGAGGATCTGGAAGAACGCCTCGCGAAATCCCAAGTTATCTTCCTCGATGGAGAAGGGTCTGCATACGCAGCAAAGCAGGCTGCCGCCACCAAACGAAGCGTTCGGCAATCAGGCACTGGCAACTCATCTGACTCTGAATAGCTCCTCTGTTATATGTAAGTGGGTAGTACACAATACAGACATGTTGGCTGTTACGCCAACAGGCAACCTGTTGTGTTATCCTTAGCAGTACAAGGAGGTGTTAGTCCAGTTTTGAAATTTGAGCTGGGATTGACATTATATATCTTAAGATCTTGAAGCAAAACAGGTTGTGGTTTGAGCTGTTGGGTTGTATAGTGCTGCCTTGTGGATCACATCTGATTGGTTCGCTTGAGTGATTTGTTTTCCTTGTACCGCCAGGACAACCCTGATGAGTGATGAGAAAAAAAAGAGCTACGGAGTACTACTGTCTGTGTGCTGCGCATGATGATGCGCCATGAATGAGCGGTCTCAATCTAGGACCATGTGCAGATTGCGTCGTCGTCGTCATCCCCTGCAGCGTCTCTGTACAACATGGCCAGCAGCTGCGGCTGCTGCTGCTGCTGTTGCTCATCCATGAATAGATTCTGTGCCGTGTCCTGCAGTGTCACCTTTTCAGCTGCTGCTCTGCTCACCCGTTTCCCCATGTGCTCATCATTGAGCATCCTGCTGGGACCTGAGCACTGAGACGAGATGAGATCAAAAGGAGAACGGTAAAGGTGGCGGATCCGCGGTCTGTTTAGATTGTGCCTGCTGGTACTGGTACTGGTACAGCCCTGACGGCAGCTTGAATGCCGGCAAATTTAGGGATTGGGATTGCACTGGATTGAATCCCAATTGAATTGCAGCTTCAGATCGGTCGGTTGGTATGCCAGTATCAATGCGTTTCTGGGACTATTGATTGTGTGTGCTACAACTGTTTGTATTGGCATGTTTGGACGCCACGGCAGTTTTTTTTTTGGTACTACTACGTAGCACTGGACGTTTCAATTCATTTCAATCTCCGGTACCTGCAGTGGACAGTGGAGTTAGAGCTCAAATTTGGATTTTGTTTCGCTTAAATTGGACACCAGAAGATGTGGATATTTACAAAACTACAGGTAAAAATAGCATAATACCACCGCCAATACCACCGCCTTGGTCCTACTAAGGGCTGTTTGGTAGTAGTAGTACTCCTGACAAGCTTCTCGGGAGGAGCAGGAGCGGTTTTGGTGGAGCCACAAAGCTCTGGCCCTAATAATATACAAAATGAGTAGACAAATTCTGGTAAGGTGGGCGGTTACATCAGACGCACGATCGAGAGTAGAGAATTATTCTTAGCGTGTGAAACATTCAGCATGGAGAATCATATATCCTGTTTTTGTTGTGAGAGAAAAATACTGTTTATTGGCTGAAAAAGTACGACTTATAAGCGAAGCGAACAGGACGATAATTTCTATTCTATAGAAACGCCTCCGTCTTCCTAGTCTTTTCCTCCCAAGAATCAGCACGGAGAACATTCAGAACTTTGCGATGAATTATTGAGTCCAATTAGGACGAGCTTTACAGGCCTCTTATATATACTTTTTTAGCGCGACTCGGGTCTAGTCATGACACTGAAAAAAAAAACACGACATGTAACGTCACTCATGTTGTTTCTGTGAAGACATCTTGACTGTGACTCGGTCCAACAAGAGACGTCTACAATATATACTACTAGCTACTAGTACTTAGGAGGGGTCAATTACTTAGATCCAGTGCAATGAAATGATGCAACACGACATGACGGCACTTTTGTCACGTTAATCTACTTGGCCGGCTAATAAACTAGGGTTTATGTCCCTTGTTTAGGACACCTAATGGCTGATGTAACCACAAAAAGGTACGCGTCAGCCGGACTAACAAAAAAGGGGGTTACAAGCTAGTTATGAATTAGACGACGACAACGACGACGACGACCTTGACATGATCTCCGGAGGATCACAAACAGGAAGCGACAGAAAGGAATTGGACTCGGAGCTGAGGAGTTGTTGGAAAGCATCTCCGGAATGAGTCGTTATAATATATCTATATGGTTGTAAGTTGGAACGCAACAACAATTTTAGGTCCTGCATCATTGACTAATTTGATGTGCAACCTTCATATATATATGAGTACTTGTATAATATATAACTTGCTAGATGCTGAAGTGTTCGACTTGAAAACTTCAACAGTGAAAGTTCGAGAAGATTGTTATAGAACATATATAGAGTTTAATTCTGAAGTTGAGGAATCCAAATAAATGGTACTGTACAACAGTTTTCATATGTAATGGGAGTTGCAGCAGTAGAGAAAATAATGATCTTGAAACCTCACAAGTGACAAAATTTACATCATGCTAATTTATATATAACTAACAAATAACGCGAGTGGCATTTTTTGCCAAAAATTCTCAAAGAAAAAAAAGAAGTGTTTCACGTCACCGGTAGAGATGAAAATTGAAGTAGTCTTAAAGGTAAATTCTCAGAAAAGCAACAAGATCATATTCGTCCTCATTGCACACCTAACAGGTTGGATCACCAATAGGTAGCCAGCAAGGGATTTTATTCTTGTACAGATGATTGAAAAAGATGAGAAATCCAAAATATGCCGGCCACACACTTTCACACTGGCGGATGCACATCCATCCATGGATATATGTCCCACTCTCCTAGTACAGGGAATAAGTCCTCAGTGTTAATAGGAGGTGCATTGAGTCATTTGTTGTTTAATATCAGTTACAAGAAATAAGATTGTTTTTGACAACTGCCGATCTAAATATTTTTTAGGTACTATTCAAAGGAACATATTGGTTTTGTCAACGAGCGTAGTTAATTACAGCAATGTATAAAGACAACAAGGAACAAATCTTTCAAATTTATTGAGCACTAGATACGCGCTCTTTGTCTTATTTGGATGGCTATAATATTAATTTGAGCTTTGAGATGGACACTTTTACTTTTTATTCTTTTTGGTATAATTGGTCTGATTCTCTTGGTCTCAAGAGACGAAGTCGGGCTTGTCTCCTTTATCTGAAATAGTCAACATCTAAATATGATAGAATTTAAGTCGTTGAAGGTGGGTTGTGCAACCAAGAGCGACAAATTTAGGTTTACTTTTAGGTTAACAATAAGACATAGCGCTGTAATGGACACCTCAAAAGGAACAACATTTGCAACGCAATGTGTTAGGAGATTTGCGCATTATTGGAAATGATGAAAATCTCAACCAAGATAGAGTGCAAGACTACTGTGCAAAGGTCTAAAAGAGTGTTGCCGCATGGCCTCCTCAAGCCACTTATGGGTTTAAAAGATCATGCCTTCTAGGAATTGGTGGCAAATATTTCTTTATCCTTTCTTTAGGGGTTTGTCTTTGTTGCAGTTGTTTGCTTGCTCATGTTGTTAGTAGATTTGCCTTAGTTAGTCATTGTAGTTGTTGCTACTTCTCTTGTTTTGTGTTACTCTAAAGTCGTTGTTTGTTCAGTCTGGACCTTCTTGTCAATATAATTGGCAGCCCTACTGATTGATTCACTTCAAGAAAAGTAACTTTGTGTAAACCTAACTATTAGTTCTCCTTTTCCTTCCAAATGTCTATCCGGGAATTAAGACAAACAAATCTATTAGCAAGCAATAACCCAAGGACCCATTTGGATCCTTTCATTAGAGCTGAATTCGAATCTACTTTATGAACTAGGCTATTTGACTTAAAATTTGATATTCCACCACTTTCCAAATCTCAAGTACAGATCTAGAGTAAAATTCACCGTTGATCCCTGAACTTGGCCGACGGTATCATCTAGGTCCCTGTACTTCTAAAGTGATATCCGTGAGTCCCTAAACTTGACAGACGGTGTCATTCTAGGTCCATGAACTTTCAAGGTAATCAATGCAAGTCCCTAAACTTGGCCGACGGTGTCATCTCGGTCCCTGAACTTTCAAGGTGATTATCGTAGGTCCCTAAACTTGGCAAGCGGTGTCATCCTATCCAAATGTAATAATATTAAAAGTTACCTATAGTATTAAAAGTTTTCTCTATTAAAAGTTACTTCTAATTTTAGTATTATTTTAAAAATTTTAACAGTAGTATTATATTATAGAAGTAACTTTTCTCTGTTATTAATACTATAATACTATTATTAAAAATTCTGATACTATAAAACTACTATTAAAACTAGTATAGTATTATTGTTTTAATAATAAAGGAAAGTTACTTCTATAATACTACTATTAAAACTTTTAAAATAATACTAAAATTAGAAGTAACTTTTAATAGAGAAAACTTTTAATACTATAAAAAATTTAAATTATTTTAATACTATTAATGATACATAAATATTAAATTAATTTTAGTATTTTTCTATTTTAATTTAAACCTAATATATATGTTGTTGTAAATATTTTAATTTATTTTTTACTGATGTAAATTATTTTATATAATTTATATTTTCATGATAAATATTATATAAATAATGATTGATTAATTGACACATGTTGGATCCACATCTAACGTAAAGTCAGCGTGCCACGCCAGCTTATAGGGTAGGTTAGACCATATTTGGACAGGAATGACACCATTTGGCAAGTTTAGAGACCTGGAGTGATCACTTTGAAAGTTCAGGGACCGCGATGACACCGTCGGCCAAGTTTAGAGACCTGAGGTGATTACCTTGAAAGTTCAAGAACTTGGATGACACCGCCTGCTAAGTTAAGAGACTCACAGATATTACTTTAGAAGTTTAGGGACATAGATGACACTACCGGCCAAGTTCAGAGACCGACGGTGAAATTTTGCTCACAGACCTATGTCAAATTCAAAAGGTAGAAATGAAAATAGATATAGTAAGAAACGGAGAGTGAGATTCACGACCCTCGCAACCTGATCTCCTTCACTCGTCTCTCTCTCGAGTCCAGACACAAAAAGCTCCTTGTGGGGGATCCTCATGCTGCCATCAAGCTTCCACCGGCGGCAACACTTCAATTAAGATATGAAATGGAACGTGATCCTTAATTTTCTTGAAATAAAATTCAATTCCACAGAAGGGCGTAAGAATTTTATCGAAAGAAACCGGATCGACAATTCTACCTGGCAAAAGGCAGACCAGACACCTCGCCATCTAGATTCTAGAG